GCTGTAGCAGCATGAGCAGCAGGGTCTCATAGGCTGCACACAGAAGCAAAGTAAAGAAACCATGTAACTGGCTACAGTAAGGCATTTGCCTTACTTGGGTATAATCTAATGGAAAGTTCCTAGTCATATAACTAAAGGCCAGCTGACTGTGGTTGGTTAAGCTTCAGTTTCCTTTTGCTGTTTATATTGAATTGGGTTTTGGTTTGCTGGTGGCGGCACCCATGGCACTGCAGCTGTCTCAGCCTAATGGCCTCCCAGTTAATTATTGAAACACTTTATTTGAATGATCCTAGTGAAAAGTTCCTGGTTCCTCTTAGAGGTTGGTTGGCAGTTTCTGACGGGTTAAGATGAAGTTTGGCTTACCTAGACTGTGACTGTTTATATTGAGTTCGACCTCAGTTTGCTTGTGCAGGAAACCAGGGCACTGGAGCTGCCTCTATTTAACAGTTTACCAATTAATTATTTCAACGGGCTGTCTACTTTTACTTCAGCCTTGGTCTGTGGGTGCCACGTTTTTGTGTTTACCAATACCCGCTACATTTGATATGCTGTGGACTCTCATTCCTGTCCTGAGCTCAAGGCTGTCAGTCTCTTCAAGTCTTAGGCAGTCCTTTTAGAAAAGGAAAACCTCGTAGTTAGTTTACATCTCTGAGCGTCTTCTTTTTCTCAGATACTGGCCAAATAAGTGTGCACAACTTTACTGGTATTTTGCTGCCTTCCTACTGATTATTTAAAAATTTTCCCTCGGTTTTACTAGTTGCTCTCAAGAAGTTACTTTCAAGAAATTTAATAGAAAATATCCAGCCCATTGTTACCGAAAATGGACATTTCATTTACTTAAATTCATATTATCTTTGTGTGTTAGATATGTCTTCTTAAGTGGTCTTGTATCTTTTTTTTCCAGGTGGGTATAAGTAAATTAACAAGTGTGAGCTCTGAACCCAGATTGCTGTGTTGTTTTCTTGGCTGTGCTATATTACAACTAGCTATATGACATTGCCCAAGCTACTTAAATCTCTATGCCTCATTTTCTTCATGAGGTTGTTTAGATAATTAAATAAATTAATACAAATTAAGCCCTGAGATTATTGTCTAGCACATTTTAAGTGCATGAAAGTCATTAGTTCTTATTGTTTGGTTCAAGTTTTTATTAAATTCAGCCTAACTTAAAGTGGAATCAATAGATGATTTCCACATAGTGGACAAGAAAGCTCATTTTACTATCATTGAAATAGCCTAGGGAAGACTTTATTTTTTGGTTTTACTTATTCATTTGTTAACCTAACTATGCATCACCAAGAATTTCTAGATGCTAATGTTGTATATTATGCATTGTTTTAATTTCTCTAGGGAACTGAATGTATTACAAATAAGTATTTTCATTTATTCCAACTAACTCTGTTCCCATAACTTGTAATATCTTGGTTGCAGGTGTCTGTGTATCATCTAGCACCCCTTCCTGAATAGTCAATGCTGAAGGTTAAAGAAAACCTTCATGATACAGTTTCTTTATGTGCCTGCTTTCTGCCTTAGTAATTTATGAGGAAAATATCATAATAAACTAACAACAACCTGGGTGTTTTCTCCATTTTTCCTCTTTCATGTAGGCAATGCGTATCTCTGATTTGAGTTGCAGCTCCTAATTCCTGTCTGTAATCAGGAAAAGCCTTGTGCTTTCTCCTACCAATGATCACAAATATGAAAATTAAAGATGGCTACTGAAGACAACAGACATGCAAGGACATATCTCAAAATGTGGCAAAATGGATCATAAAAACAGAAAAGATTAATGTCATTTTTCTTTCATTTTTTTTCTAACAGGTACTGTGTAGATCAAAGCAATGGATGTAGAGTTATGTTATTTGTTCTTTTTAGCAAATTTAATTAAGAGACTGAATTTTATATAATAGTTTTATATTGAAAAAACTTCTTCCTAGGCAACAAAAATTTTCACTGAGGAAGAGCTGATTTGCAAGCTTCCACATATCTTTAAACAATGAACTTTCCCTGAAATGAAGATAAAACCTAGTATGAAGCCTATGTGCATTCCTAGGTCTTCTGAACAAAAAATTCCTGGGCTTTGTTTTAAGTTCTGTATAAAATATATCTCTTCAGAAATGCTTTCCTGAATGACTGTGGGTGGAAAATATTTTTTTAGGCATGTCGAAGATGAAAAGCATATCTGAAATTACAAAGATGTGGATGATCTGACATTTTCTTCAGGTTATAACCTCTTCCAAATAATTTTTTATTACTGGCCTGGGCTTGAGATAGCATGCATGTGCAATAGCAATACTGAAAAATGCCAGCCAGAACAGTAGGTGCTATTCAATTAATTTTAACTTTACAGGTTTTCGAATTAAGAGAAAACATTTTATTTTTTCCTGAAATTGGCATTCATGAGATATTATAGTGAAAAAGCACTCTATTTTTCCCCTAAAAAGCCTTTGTCTTTGTTGTAAAAGTGCCAAATCTTGAAAGCGATTATTCAGGGGCTGCTTGTTTTACATCTGAAATGCGTGACAATTTATTGTACCAATCAGTGTCCTTCCTGTTGCATGTGACAGATATATAACTAGGGAAAAAGAAACAGTGTTTTGTTTTGTTTTTTGCTCACACTACGAAGATGCAGGGGAATTGTAGCTGTGGCCATGCCTGGGATGTGAATGGGAAGAGGGTGGGGAAAACTCCAAGTACTATCCTTCAATTTCTTATCTTCTGCTCTCTCTTGAAACATCCATTTTTTCCCTCTGTAAAATGGCATCCAAGTATGTCAAGTTGGAGCTCCAGACTCACATCTTTTAGTTTTTTTCCCGCAGCAGACACTGACAACTAACTGCCTTGGTCTCACAGTAACATATGTAAGGGAAATGCCGCTTGATTCAGCTTGGGTCAGGAAGCTAGCCTTAGGCAATTACAGTTTCCCAGTGGGGAGGGCATCACTCCCCCTTGCCAGGTCACCGTAGGAGGAAGACTTTGTCATCATTCAACAGAAGAGATGTCCACTGTAACTAAGGGGTTTTCTGGTTCTTCACTTATTTAAATTAACAGTATTAAGTGGACATGCATTTCTTTTCATTACCTACCTCTTGAATATTTTTAAGTTTTCATGTTCTCACTTTAAAAAAAGTGTGAAAGAGGTATGCACATATTTGTCCATTTTGCTTTTCAAGGGACAATGTGGCAATCCATCTTTAATTGGGCAGAGAGACTTGGAAATGCTGACGATAAAGCAGCAGGATGGCAGCTGTGAACTTGAATCTCACATCTGAAACTCCAGCATGGGAAGCTGCCTGTCTCATAGAGTTAGCTCTGTATGCCCATGCCTTCCTCTCTCAGAGGAACTGTCTAGACTTGCTTGTTGCTTCAGGCAGTGTTCTGAAACTTTTCAGATTATAAATAACAACTGGAAGGTTTGTTAAGAATACAGGTTAACTGGCCCTACCTCAGGTCCACTGAAAAAAAGAATCTGTATTCTTATAATCAGACAAGTCTGGGGAACACTGCAGACAGAATACAGTATGTGTTAGGTGAGCTGGGGTATTACCTTGTCATTTTCACCCTTAATGGGGAAACTGGTAAATGTAGAGCCAAGAGGAATTGTACTGAACTAAGGGCAATGCTTTCCTTTCTGTGTGTTTACCTATTTATTCTCTTACTTAAAGCTTTCTTTTTTCAGAGTAATCAATATTATTTTTAGTTTTTAAAATTTTTCATTAGTAGTCTTGTTAATAAAAAAAAGTATTCTCTATGTCTGTTCATGGAAATGTTCTTTAAGTGTACTAAAATAAATACAAATATTATAAAGTAGGTTTTGTGTATATATTTCTTTATGTGTAATAACTTAGCTGATCTTTACCAAAACCCTGTAAGATTATTGGTATCAGTATGTTCTGCTTTTAACAGATGAGAATGATGGAAATTCAGAAGAATTATGTTATTGCTTAGGTGACAGCAGACCAGGTCCAAGCACAGAGCTCCCTCATCCTTTGCCTATACCCCCAACTTCCACCACAACCAATGACACAGTGCTTCCTTTTGCTGGCCCCATAGCCGCAGGTATGCTGGCAATTCCATTCAATGTATCCATTCATGAATGTGACAGTATAAGATTGTTGATGAGATGATGTGTGAGATCAGATTTCATAAAACTTGAAAACGTTTGAAACTATAAGCAAATTAGGTCATATGATGATATGCTTCAGGGATACAGAAACCTACCTTTGCACACAGTTTATCATATCTCTATTTCTATTTATGTTATTTTAAATAGACTAAAAGACCATGACTTGTTTTGAAATCATAAGGTGATAAATTAATACATAATAAAGTTCATGAAGATAAGTATATATACCTCAAAGAACCACTAGACCAAGATACCTAAGATTCAAATCTTGCTCTTCCAACAGCTTCTTAGACAATTCTGAGCCACTAACTTTACATTTTGGGCTCACTTCTATTTATGAAAAAAAAAAAATCTGTATTTTTTTTTCCATAAATAGAATAGCTTCATTGTCATATACATTTTTATATTAAAGAAAAATTTTATTATTTTTTTCCATCTATATGACCCGTTTTCAAAAAGACTTGCTCTAGTAGGAAAACTACATTTAGGAAATAGTTTTTAATTAATTTTCCATTTTCTAATTAATCATAACATATATAGTATATATGAATATGTATTACATATGCCCTGTCAATCAGAACTTACTGGGATGAAATAATTGGTGACATGCAAGACATTTGCATAAGTACACACATGGCAGTTTGTTTTGCTGTCTTCCTCCCCTTCACCCCCATTTGGCATTTCTCCCTGCACATGTACCCCAAAACCTAAAATGCAATTAAAAAAAAAAAGAAATATGGCACATGGCATATTCATAAAAATACAATGCAGATATTTAAATCATGTTTTTAAAGAACATTTAATGATAATATATAATGTTCATAATCTTACGTTAAGTAAAAAGCAGAATACAAAGGTTCACATGCTGTTTAATATGATTTTTAATAATCTACCTATCTGTGCATTTAAAAATTCTGAAATTAAATTTAGCAGTGGTTGTTTCTGGGAAAAAAAAAAAGAAATAATTGGTGACAACACTTGGAAATTTTATCTCAGCTTGAAATAAAGAAAGCTGGCCTTTTATTTAGTCTGGGTGAAGGACAAGGAGTATAGCAAATGTTGAGCGGATCACAGGCCTATTTCCATTTGACTTTCACAGTCTTGGAGTCATCATCTCTGCTTGGTTTCTGTTGAACCAGATGATCTCTCCCAGGACCAGCCTATGAATCCATGAATTTTAATAGAAATCAGCAAACTGTACTTTGAGATAAAAACTGGAAATAGAGCACGAGGACAGAGGGTAAGTGGGAGATATTAGAGAAAGAATTCTAAAATCTGAAAAATGTTCTCCTCTGTAGTGTAAAATTGCAAGCAGTTCCATATTCACGGAGTATTTTCAACACAAACATTCCTGTCATGGTGAATAAAAGTTCCCTAACAAATAATTTTCTATATACATTCTTGTTTTAGTCTATGGGATTTAAAATTTCTTATTAAAAATGCTCACCAAAGAATTTCATTTTTTAAAAGAAAGAGTTAAAAAAATCAGAGGAACAAAACAGAAAACAGAATGGAAAAACTATCTACCTCATCTAATAATACACACACAATGGTCTCAGAAGAGGAGAGAGCTTCCAAATCATGCTGCCTCAGCTCTCATTCATTCATTCATTTATTAAATACATACTGATGCATTACTATCTTTAGCAAATAATTTTATAGGTGGAAGGAACTTGCCTTGTCTCAGATTAGACATTGGACTATAGACTTTTGACTTAATGCTGAAGTGAGTTAAGACTCTGGGGGATTGCTAGGAAGAGATGATTAGTTTTAAAATATGAGAGACTCTGGGGGATTGCTAGGAAGAGATGATTAGTTTTAAAATGTGAGGATGTAAGCTTTTGGAGGGGCCAGAGGTGTAATGATGCTTGGTTGTGTCCCCACCCAAATCTCATCTTGAATTGTAAGTCGCACAATTCCCACCTGTCATGAGAGGAATCTGTTGGGAGGTGACTGAATTATGAGGGCAGATCTTTCCTGAACTGTTCTCATGAGTATCTCTATTATCACTTTTATTCTACTTACTGTTTTAAAAATTTGTTCTTTTCATAGCTTCTTAAAGTAGAAACTTAGATGATTTATATTAAACCTTTTACATAATTATTTTTTCTAAAATAAGCATTGTACTAAATAGTTTACTAGGACTACCTACCCTAACAAAGTTTCACAAGCAGGTATCTTAAAGAGTAGAAGAAACTTTTTGTCTCACAACTGGTTCTGGAGGCTAGAATTTTGAGGTCTGTCAGGGTGAGTTTTCTCTGAGGGATTTAAGTTAAAATCTATTCTATGTCTTCCTCCTAGCATCTAGTAGTTTGCTGGCAATCTATAGCATTATTTAGATTACAGTAGTATCACACTAATGTCTGTCTTCATGTTAACATGGCATTCTTCCTATGAGTGTGCCTGTGCCCAAATTTCCACTTTTTATTATAAAGATACCAGTTATAGTAAACAAGAACCCAGCCTACTCCAATATGATCTCATATTAACTAATTACATCTGCAGTAATTAGGTCACATTTTTCAAATAAGGTCACATCCTGAGTGCTGAGGTTATTACATGAACATGTGCATCTGTGGGAGAAGCAACTCAACTCATGGCAAGCATAATGCTACAAATTCCCTTCTAAGCACTGCCATTGCTGCAAATGATCTGGATATGTTGTACACTCATTATTCTTCAATTTAAAATATTGTTCTAATTTCCGTCATCTATTTTAAAATAACCCTTGGATTTTTAAAGGCTTGAATTTAATTCTTTAAACTCAAGTGTAAATAATTTAAAATTTTAAAGACTTAAGTTTTAAAACTCAATTTTAAAGTTGACGCCTTTTAAAATCCATGGGTTAATTTAAAGATCACAATGCAAATTAGAACAATATTTCAAATTGGATAACAATGTTTATTATTTAAAGTTATCTTAGATATATTACCTTTTATTAAATGTATTTATATTATACAACACATTATTTTTGGTTTATTTTTAATGGCTTTATTGAGGTCCAATTAACATATGATACAATGCACATAATAGAAATGTCTAATTTGGTTAAGTTTTAAAAATGTACACAGCTGTAAGTCTTCACTAGAATAAAAACAGTGAAAATGTGCATCAATTTCAAAAGTAGTGTCTCCTCTTGAATCACTAGGCAAATAGTAATATATTTTCTGTAATTTTAGATACTTTGCATTTTTTAGAATTTTATGTAAATGTTAATATACAGAATGTATTATTTTTTGATCTGGCTTTTCTCACTCAGTGTAATTATTTTGAGATTCAACCATATAGTAGCATGAACAGTAGATTTCCTTTATTCCCAAATAGTATTCCAATGTATGGTTATACCACAATTTATTTATGCATTCACCTGTGGATATACAATTGGGTTGTTTCCAGCATTTGGTTATGACAAATAAAGCTGTTATAAAAGTATGTCCACAAGTCTTTGAGTGGACATATGCTTTCTTTTATTTTGAATAACTATTTTGAAGTGGAATGGCTAGAACATATGGTACATGAAATCAATATGCTAGATGTGCGTTAAAGTTGATAAAAAAAAATGCCAAATGGTTTTCTGAGTGGTTGTACAATTTAATATTTGGATATTCCACACCCTTGCTGACACTTGGTATGCGGAGTCTTTTCAATTTAGCCTCTCAGGATGATGGTTATATTGTGGTATATTAGCATATGGCTTAAATTTATATTTCCCAAATGATGGTGAGAATCTCTTCTTTTGTTTATTCTCTGTCTATCTAGACTTTTTGGTGAAGCACTTGTTCACATTTTCTGCTCATTTTGTGAGGGAGGGAGTTTAGCCCCTGCATGAGTCTGCTGTTTTTTTTTTTTTTAATAGGCTTTATTTTTTAGAGCAATTTTAGATTCACAGCAAATGTATGCAGTTCCAATATATTATCTGCCCCACACATGCACAGCCTCCTCCATTATCCACAACCTCCATCGGAGTAGTACGTTTGTTACAATTCATGAGATTACATTGACACATCATAATTACTCAAAGTCCATAGTTGACATTAGGGTTCACTCTTGGTGTTGTATATTATGTGGGGTTGTACAAACTTATGATATGTATCCACCATCATAGAATCATACAGAGTAGTTGCCCTGCTACAAAAATCCTTTGTGCTCTGCCTATTCATCCCTCCCTTCCTGTAATTTTTAGCAAACACTTATTTTTTAAAAAGTGATTTTAAAATTAAAGTTTTAATTGAGAAATTTTAACTGTATACATTTATGAGCTACAATGTGATGTTTTGATAAATGTATGCAATGTGGAATAATTAAGTCAAGTTAATTAACATATCCACCACCTTGCTTACATATAATTTTCTGATGAGACACCTGAAATTTACTCTGTTATTTTGAAATATATAGTACATTGCTATTGCTGTAACTACCCTGCTATGGATAGATCTCAAAACATATTTATTCTGTAAATCTGAAAGTTTGTATCCTTTGACCAACTCCTTATGTCCTCCCTTCCCCCCCATCATCCTCTAGTAACCATTATTCTGCTCTCTACATCTGGTGGTTCAACTCTTTTAGAGTCTACATTTAAGTGAAATCATGAGGTATTTGTCTTTCTGTGCTTGGCTTATTTCCTTTACCATAATGTTCACCAGGCTCATCCATGTTGTTTCAAAGGAAAGGATTTCATTCTTTCTCCAAGGTTGAAAAGGTTTCCATTGTGTGTGTATATATATCACATTTTAAAATAATTTCATCTGTTACAAACATTTAGGTTGATTCCGTATGTTGGCTCTTGTGAGTAATGCTACAATATGGTTCTAGATCCTTAAGGAATTGACACAGTGTCTTCTACAATGGGTGAACTAATTTACACTCCCACAAGCAGTGTAAAAGTGTTCCTATATATTAAGTAGAGTCTGTAACATAAATTTTTGAAACAGAAAGCATCAACCCCAGATAGGTTCACCATTCAATACTACCAACTATTTAAGAAAGAACTTGTGCTAATTCTCTACAATCTCAGAAATTTGAAGCAAAAGGGATAATTCCTAGTCATATGAGAAATACGTCCTCATTGTATGCAGCCAGCATTTCCCTAATACCAAAACCAGGCAAAGATATTACAAGAAAAGGAAACTGCAAACTAATATCCCTCATAACATAGATGTAAAACCCTTCAACAAAATACTAGCAAGTGAAATCAAACAATCTATGCAAAGAATTACATATGATGACCAAATTGGAATTATCTCAGTTATACAAGACTAGTTCAATGCCAGAAAATCAATTACATAATCCATCACATCAATGACTCACAAGAAAAATTGCATGATCATTTCAAAGCAACTGAGAAAATACAATACCCTTCATGACAAAAAAAAAAAAAACAAAACTCTTAGCAAACTAGAAATAAAAGGGAATTGCTTCAGCTTGATAAAGAATAGCTTAAAAAACCTACAGCAAAAATTATACATGATGATGAGAAATTTCAAACTTTCCCACTGAAGTTAGGAATAAGGAAAATATGTCTCCTCCCACTAATGCTCTTCAACTTTATTCTAGAAGGCCTATCTAATACGAAAAGACAAGAAAGAGGAATAAAAGGTATATATATTGAGGAGAAAGAAATAATACTTTGTTCACAGATAACATGATCATTTATGAAGAAAATAGGAAAGAATCATCAACAACCAAAAAACTCCTGTAACTAATAAGTGATTATAGCAATTTTGCAGGATGGAAGGTTAATACACAAAAGCCAATTGCTTTCTCGTACAGCAGAGGTGAACAAGTGGAATTTGAAATAAAAATTATGTTAACATTTACATTAATTCCACCAATAATGAAATACTTGAGTATAAATCTAACAAAATTTGTTTCATATCTATACGAGGAAAACTACTAAACATTAAGGAAAGAAATCAAATAAGTAAATTAACATAAAGCTATTCCATGTAATAGAAAGAAAACCTCAATACTGTCAAAGTATTAGTTCTTATCAACTTTATCTATATTTTAAATGAGACTCCAATTAAAATTTCAGCAAGTCATTATAATTCATGGATTTTGACAAACTAATTCTAAAGTTCATGGAGAGACAAAAGACTGACAGTAGCTAGCACAATATTGAAGTAGAATAAAGTTGGAGATGACACTACACAACTTCATGTGTAATTATCATGAATACTATAGCCATTATGAAAAATGATATGAAGGCTCTTCAAAAAACTAAAAGTGAACTAGCATATGATCCAGCAATCTCACTTCTGAGTGTATGTCCACAGGAACTGAAATCACAAACCCAAAGGGATATCTGTACTCCCATGTTGTATCTGGGATACAAGTGCAGAATGTGCAGGTTTACTACACAGGTACCTATGTGCCATGGTGGTTTGCTGTACCCATCAACCCATCATCTACGTTAGGTGTTTCTCCTAATACTATCCCTCCCTTAACCTCCCACTCACTGACAGGCCTTGGTGTGTGATGTTCCCCTCCCTGTGTCCATGTGTTCTCATTGTTCAACTCCCACTTATGAGTGAGAACATGCAGTGTTTGGTTTTCTGTTCTTGTGTTAGTTTGCTGAGAATGATAGTTTCCAGCTTCATCCATGTCCCTGCAAAGAACATGAACTCATCTTGTTTTATGACTGCATAGTATCTCACAGTGTATATGTGCCACATTTACTTTATCCAGTCTATCACTGATGGGCATTTGGGTTGGTTCCAAGTCTCTGCTGTTGTGAACAGTGCTGTAATAAACATACATGTGCATGTGTCTTTCTAGTACAATGATTTATAATCCTTTGAGTATATATACAAAGTAATAGGATTGCTGGATCAAATGGTATTTCTGGTTTTAGATCCTTGAGGAGTCTGTCTTCCACAATGGTTGAACTAATTTATACTTCTAACAACAGTGTAAAAGCGTTTCTCCACATCCTCTCTCTCCTCTGCTGTTTCCTGACATTTTAATGATTGCTATTCTAACTGGCATGAGATGTATCTCATTGTGGCTTTGATTTGTGTTTCTCTAATGACCAGTGATGATGAGCTTCATTCCATATGTTTGTTGGCTGCATAAATGAGAAGTGTCTGTTCACATTCTTTGCCCACTTTTTGATGCGGTTGTTTGCTCTTTTAAATTGTAAATTTGTTTAAGTTTCTTGTGAACTCTGGATATTAGCCCTTTGTTAGATGGATAGATTGCAAAATTTTTCTCTCATTCTCTAGGATGCCTGTTTACTCTGATGATAAGTTTCTTTTGCTGTGCAGAAGCTTTTTAGTTTAATTAGATCCCATGTGTCAATTTTGGCTGTAAAACAAGTTTTAAAGCAATCAAATTGTTCACAATTTATGTCTTCAACCACTTTCCCTGACTTATCTTACACTTCCAGTCCTTTTAATTTCTTATTTTTTTATCCTTCCTATTGATTCTTTTAACTTATCACTTTTATAAACGTGACTTTTATTCCCCATTTCTTCTAAATCAAGATGTACCCTCTGGCTATGTTGCCAACAGCTACCCAAAAAATATTTTGTTTGCTTGAGCGATTTCTGCAGATTCACATAGGTGACACCCTGTTCTGGTTTGAGCCTAGATAATAACAGATGAACACAGTAATTTTAGAAAGAATTGTCTAGTTAGTTATTGTCTTTGAAAGATATTTGTCTTTGTTGCCTTTCTTTTTTAGATAAAGCTTTGTCATGGTAAGGGATAATAAGCAGTATAACTTGGCAATAAACATAAGAACTAACTAATAATTAAACTCAGTTATATGGTTTGTGGGGAAAGGAAAAAAAGAGGAAAGAGGTCAGCTGGAATTAGTCCTAGGTTGGTCTTGGCAGTGATTGCTTGGATTTGAAAACTACAGAGTTGCTAGAACATTCAATGGCCTTTAAAATTCGTGGATGTACAGGGAATCAATGTTAGATCAGTATTTTCTGTGTCACTATCTGGGAAAATATGGGTTTAATTGGACTGCTATTAAGAGTTTGCGCTTAGCCTACAGTGACCAGCATGACGTGGTCTGGTATAGTTAATCTATTTTGAGAGTCAGGGTACACTTTGTAAGTTTACTCCCCCATTCCCCACAACCCAGATGCTGGCATTGTCTGTTCCATTTTATGCATATGCAAGAATTACGCCACTGTATTCCAGGTGTTGCATAATGCAGTTTAATTCCAAAGCTCAGAAGGAAATGAAGTATAACCAAATTCAAAATCTTAGGAAAATGTCTTCATGATTAATAATATTAATTTTCTAAAAGCAATTCAAAATTTTATTTCCAGCACCAGACGTTTATTGAATGGATGAATGAATGCAATTTTAAAAAGGTTATGAGACAAGAGATAGGAATTGATTATGTGCATAATCTTTTATCCTTGTAGACATAATTAACAGATGATATACCCCTGAAATCAACCATGTAAGAAATAATGTAAAATTAAGACACTTTGGATAGCTGCTCATGTGAGAGGGTTGAAGGTACATTGAAAATGACTTACCTCTTTGTTACAGATCTGATGGAGTAAAGGAGAGGGCAGGAGATGCAGGTTATGTAGTTCCTGGCCATTTCCCTGGTAGTTCTATTATGAGTTGTGAACTTTGGGGAAGTAATGGTCCTTCATAGTCTCAGTTCCTTCATCTGAAAAATGGGAAAATTATTGTTAAAGAAAATGATTAACTGTAAATCCTAGGAATATCATAGCGACCTATAAAACATTCAGCTTCTCCTTCCCTTTTTACTCATTGAAATAATATATTAAAATAATATTCTTGTGAATAAATGTTATTTACTAATTCCTCTACTTAAATGCAGATAGTCATACAAAAAGCTCAACTCTTGAGGACAAATAGAAAAGAGAGAAATGGAGAAACAGGAAGCAGAGAGAGAAGAAGAGAGCTGTATGGATACGTAAAGCTTCTTCCCACATCTCATGCCCAAATTTCAATCTAGGTAGAAATACAAAGTGTTAGAGAGGTAATGTAGGTTAGATTGTCCTTTAACTTAATAAGCTATTATTTGCTAATCATCTACCAAGTACTAGGCACTAATGATACATGAAGAAACTGGAAATGAATCATCTCTGTCCTCACAAAGCTTATAGAGTGGTTCCTGAAGATTTAGGTTAAAAAGGAGAGGAGCGTTGGCCACAGAGACCTATAACCAGAACCCCTAACTTAATTAAAAGGGGCGTTGTGGAAACCTGTGTAAAAGGGGTATTTGAGACCTAAGCATAAGTAGAATTTGCTACGTCATAGGGTAGGCTGAGAAGCAGTATTGCAATAGGGTACTCAGAGGAGTAATCATTCTCTGCAAAGGCAATGGGAAAGGAGAAAGCTTAGTTTGCATGGGGACTGAAGCAAAGCTGGCAGGAACAAGACCGAGTCTGCAAAGGAGGCTTAAGGTGAGGCTGCAGAAAGTTCAGGGCTAAATAATATGGAGTCTTATCTGTTAGGTTAAATATTTTGGACTTTAGGATCATTATGAAGCCACTGAAAGGTTTGAATCAGAGGAAGGCAACTGATTTCTCTTTTAAGACAATATTTTTCACTGTAGCAGGAGCAATGGGTTTGAAGAGGAAAAGAGTGCTTATTCAGAAATAAACTAGAAAATGGTGGATTCTTGCAAGGTAGAGATAGATGATGGTGGTTTCATTCACGTGAGGCAGTGGAGATTAATATACAACATTTTACCTTGCAGGCTAACCCTGCTTCGAAAGCTCTCCCAACCTCCTCTGCCCACTTTCTTACCGAGAGAAGTTTTATGCATCCTTTAAATTTAAACTCTAGTTCTAACAATATTATTTCTCTTCAAAAGGAAAAGTTAGTGGCTTACTACTAGAGCATCTGGCAAATGTATCCTTTAAGGTTGTGGTTTCCAGCCCTTGGCTACACATTAAAATCATCTGGGAAACTTTAAAACAGTTCCAATGTTTGTCTTCCACCCCAGGCAGACTCTGAGGAGTAGGAACAGAGCAAGAATATTATTTAGAAGCTCCGGAGGTGGTTCTGATTTATTCAGGAATGGGAACCAGAACTAAAAGCATTTGCCATACTAGCATTTTTGGTTGTTGTCCTCTCTACTATGCTGTAAGCTCATTGTGGGCAGGACTGTTGATTTCTTTTACTTCCTGAGGGCTTACAACCACAATGATACATATTTATACACTGCTATGTATTTAAATAAATAAAACCTGCTAATTCATTACTTTTAGCCACCTGGGGCTTTGCTGTCCGTAAAGTTGAATGGGAATAATTCTGGAAGACTATGAGGAATCTGCACTAATAACTTGAGTCACAAAGATAAAAACAGACATTTAAAATTATATCAGAAATAATAGTGTAAGAAGTGTGTAACTGTTGCCAAATTGTAAATGCTGTTTATGGCAAAATGTCCTGATTTGTGTTCTGCCCAAGGACGTTTCCCTGAGCTATAGTGAGAGAAAAACTTTGTAAGCAACATTTATATTCCAATAAATGCACATTGTTCTAAAGTACACCAACTAATTGGCTACTTTGACCTCAAGGTCTACTCTATTCCCGGCATAGAGGTAGTCTCTAGACTAATGGGAATTGAAAAATGTACAGACCAATTTCCCTTTCCTATTCCCACTTCATCTACTTTTAGGGGACAGGCAGAGCCTGATTTCTCTGCAACCCTTATTATATTACTGGTTTTGGAATGACATTGCAGCTTGCCTATTACCACAATTCATGGGAACGGTTTCCGCTGGCTTGTAATATAGCACCTGTTCAGTTTTTAAAGAAGCCATTTGATCCCATCATAAAGTGACTATCCAATTTAACATGAAGCAGAATCAGCCGAAATGAAGGCCAGGACAAGGCCTGGAGGGACCCTTTCGATCCTGACTATAAAACTCTGGCCCCATAGGGAAGTGTCTGAACATCTGCACAGATTGGTACTGAATTCAATCAGCACTGTCATTTTTGTTCTTAACACAGTGTATGCTCTCAGAAAAGGATATATCTATTATGGAAAGAATAAAAGGACCAAATCGGGAACCTTAGCTATACCAGCCTTGCTGTGTAGGAGGGCAGATCTGGGCAGGGACTCCTACAATGAGGGCTGAGTTTTCACCAAGGCAAAGCTGTACTGTATCCAATGGAAGATGAAGCCTCTGGCCAAGGAGTTAGGGAGAACTCAAAGGTGAAGATGAAATAGGTTAGAGAGGGGTTGGGGGGTTACAGAGCTGGGACCAAATCCAAAGCAGAGTCTGAGACAGGACAGGCAAGGGAGCGGGAAGCCTGAAAGCAGAGCCTTGACAAATACCCTAAGGTACACATCACTAGGGAGGGTAAACCTCCAGCAGGTGCTTTCCCCTGCAATTGCAAACAAGAAGAATAATCTTTCCCATATTTCTAAAACAGTTTTATGAACCTTTCGGGTCTCATATCTGAATTTTTTCACCCAGTTAACATTGCTAATTAGAAGCTTAGATACAAATGTCTGGTCCACCTCTGTGGGACTTCATGGCCTGACATTTGTGCACTAATCTCACTCTTGGTTTCTATGGTCGTTTTCTATCATCATGTAACAAATTATTACATTTAGTGGCTTAGAATGACACACATTGTTTCATAGTTTCTGTGGTTCTAAGTCTAGACACGGCTTACCTGCTTCTGCTGCTCAGGATCTCGAGAGCTGTAATGAAGCTGCCAGCTGGGCTGCATTATCATCTGGAGGCTTTCCTAGGGACTAATCCACTTCCAAGCTCATTCAGGTTGTCAGCAAGATTTATTCCCTGGGGTTGTAGGACTGAGGTCCTTAACTTCTATAGGCCACCTGGAGTTCCTTTGCCACAAGGTTCTCTACGTAGACAGTTCACACAACATGGTTGTTTGCTATTTCAGTCTCTCTCTCTCTCTTTTAAGGAATCACCTGAGTAGGTCAGGCTTGTCTAATTTCCTCAAGTTAAATCAGCTGGTTAGGAGCTTTGAGTCTATAAGATAAAAAATCCCTTCAGAGCAGCACCTTCCACATTACTCTGCCACACATGGGAGGAGGTATGTACTCCAGGGGCTGGGAATCTTGGAGCTGTAAGGATGGAGAGGCAGACCTAGGGTCAGGTTTAGCAAATTTGTTTCCACCTACCAGGCTGGCTGCCTCACCACAGGCAGCGAACGCAGCAGCCTGGCTTACAGACTATGGAGGTTATACAGGGAGTTTGCAGGTAGCCAGGGACTAGTCTAAGAAAAACTGCATCTTGGTTCTCAGTTGCTGACATTCTGCTTAATTGAGTCACCATCCTGGGTTCTAGAGCCGGGTGTAACCACATCCTGGAACCCAGGTGCTCTGTTTAGAAGGCTTGGGGCTGTTTTTGTTATTAGCTCAGCTTAGCAGGGGAGAAGAGGGAGGGGATTTATGGGCTTGCCTTGCTGTGACCCTAACATTCCAGCCTTTTGTCAGACATAAAAAACAAAGGGGAAAGGCATGCTGTTCCTTTCTAGCTGCTTCCTGCTGAGTAAAGACACTGGTCAGGTTGAGGCTGGCAGTCCTGGAACACTATCATGTCCTCTGTTGTGCGGCGGGTAAAAGCTTGTAATGAATTCTGCAAAAACTGGGTGAAAAGGTGTAAGAGACAAGGGCCAAAAACTTAGAGGAGGAGGAGAATTACAGCAGGGCCAAGGAGGAAGTAGCCAAGGGGCCCAGGAGCTGAGAGACCGACCGGACCAGGAGGGCCAGATAGAAGAGTTGTTTTTTTTTTTCTGGGTTTGGTCTTTGAGCCTTTTGGTACCATTTTGTACCAACCTGGATTTATTGAGATAGAAAGAGCATTGTTTATTTAAAAAGAGGCACAGACTTTATTTTTTCCAGCAGTGAGTAGGTCTATGACTCTGTGGTTTTTGCAGGCCGACTGCTGTTGAAGAGTCTAGTTGGTTTTGGAGGTGAGGGATAGAGTTTACTATTTTATTTATGTATTTATTTTCTTTTAGTGATGACTGGAAGTTTTGGGAGAGGGATTTGAAATTTGATAATGAGGTTTTTAGGCTTCCTGCTTCTAACTTGACACTAGTTGTGACTTTAAGGGAATAAACTGTATTGTTATTGTGTGTGTGTGGGGGAGGGCGTGTAGTGTAGCAGGGACAGGGAGTTTCTGGTTTGGAGAGACAAGGTTAACGTTGGGGGTAAGGTAGATGAGGGTGCAAGTGACTGTCCAGTTGGTAGAAGTAGGCTGGGGCCCAGCAGAGGAGGAAGATGCGTGTAGTAAACAGACAAGGGGATTGAGAATAGGTGGTGGAGTGTGTAGGTTCCTTGTTTGGAGGGACTTGGTCCAGCTTTAGCACCTAGAGTGAGGAGGAGAGAGAGACCCCTTTGAGAGCTCCTGTCTGAGGAAGGGGTTTCCATGTTTGAGAGGCAGGAGAGGAGGTAATGTGGAGGGGCTGGGTAAAGAGGCAGTTAGCTCTGGGGAAACTTAATAATTTACTTGGAGTGAGGTATGGCAAGAGAAATGGGAGATGGTGTGAGTTAAGCCAAAGGTGGAGGGGGGGGGAATGGTGCCTACGTGTATGTGTCCCTTGGAAGAAGTCACACATAAGAGGGCTTGGCCAAGTTTTGTGGTGTGGAGGGTTATAGGCAGTAAATGTGGAGAGAAGTTTGGTAGATTTGTTAGTGAGGGCCATGGAATAGTTTCTGGTGACGGTGAGGGCTTCGTCTGCAAAGGCAGAGCTGTTTTGGACAGCGCGTGAGAAGCGAATGGGAATATGGTCTCAGGGCTGAGAAATTGGGATAGCTGAGTACGCAGTAAGGGAAAGGGAAAAACAGATCCAGCAACGGGAAGCAAGTGTAGAGTTGGAGCACAAGAACAAGGACTGCGTGAGATTGATTGTCTGAGACTTGCAGAAGTGAGAAGGCACTTTGAGAGAGCAGAGGCAGTGCGGCTGACCATTAAGAGTTAGGAAGCTGAGGAAGAATTGGGGTCTGTTTCTGGGGGAAGGAGTTGATAGGGGTTGTATGGAGAGGTGGCCTCTTTTAAAGGGTTTATGAGGGCTGATAGTTCTATGGATAGTCAACACTTCCTTGCAGATGAGCAAGGAATAGGTGAGGTAAGACCTTAATTTTCATGTGGGAATGGGGAGAGGAAAGGACTTCTCATGTTTGGTATGTTACAGGGAGAGGCTGCTTTTTTTCTAGCTGATGTGTAGGGATGGGGGACTCCCTTGAGAGGAAGTAACGGAGCATATGTGACAGTTTGAGGTTATGCTTTTTAGGGTGGTAAATAGGTGGGGGGAATAGAAGTAAGGGTGAAGGAGAAGGTACAGGGGTGTGCACCAATAAGAGACGTTAACATTTCCTCGGCTCTTCTCAGGGGGATCCCGCGGCTTCTACGGATTTAGAAGATAATATAGAGATAATGCCAAGTGAATTCATAAGATTGGGTAAGATATTTAAATTCTTTGATGTTTAAGTGTCTGGATTGAAGGAGAGGGACCCGAAGTGCTTTTGGATTTGGGAGAGATTGGACAGAGAGTAGGGGACGTGAAGGCGGACAAGGCCTTCCACCGCCACCATTGCTGAATGGGAGTAAGGTTGCTGGAGCTGGCTGTGGGGATGCCGTGTCCAGGAGCGGGTGTGGGGTGGAGATGGGGGGGCCGGAGTTGGAAGCAGGGGTGGGGTGCTGGGGTAGTGGATGCTGGAGGGGGAGGGATGGAGGGGAGGAAGCAGGGGTGGGGTGCTGGATACCGGAGGGGGAGGGGTGAGGGGAGGAAGCAGGGGTGGGGTGCTGGATACCGGAGGGGGAGGGGTGAGGGGAGGAAGCAGGGGTGGGGTGCTGGGGTGGTGGATGCCGGAGGGGGAGAGTTGGAGGGGAGGAAGCAGGGGTGGGGTGCTGGGGTGGTGGATGCCGGAGGGGGAGGGGTGGAGGGGAGGAAGCAGGGGCGGGGTGCTGGGGTGGTGGATGCCGGAGGGGGAGAGTTGGAGGGGAGGAAGCAGGGGTGGGGTGCTGGGGTGGTGGATGCCGGAGGGGGAGGGGTGGAGGGGAGGAAGCAGGGGTGGGGTGCTGGGGTGGTGGATACCGGAGGGGGAGGGGTGAGGGGAGGAAGCAGGGGTGGGGTGCTGGGGTGGTGGATGCCGGAGGGGGAGAGTTCGAGGGGAGGAAGCAGGGGTGGGGTGCTGGGGTGGTGGATGCCGAAGGGGGAGGGGTGGAGGGGAGGAAGCAGGGGTGGGGTGCTGGGGTGGTGGATACCGGAGGGGGAGGGGTGGAGGGGAGGAAGCAGGGGTGGGGTGCTGGGGTGGTGGATACCGGAGGGGGAGGGGTGGAGAGGAGGAAGCAGGGGTGGGGTGCTGGGGTGGTGAATACTGAAGGGGGAGGGGTGGAGGAGAGGAAGTAGGAGTGGGGTGCTGGGGTGGTGGATACTGAAGGGGGAGGGGTGGAGGGGAGGAAGCAGGGGTGGGGTGCTGGGGTGGTGGGGGAGGGGTGAGGGGAGGAAGCAGGAGTGGGGTGCTGGGGTGGTGGACACCGGAGGGGGAGGGGTGGAGGGGAGGAAGCAGGGGTGGGGTGCTGGGGTGGTGGGGGAGGGGTGGAGGGGAGGAAGCAGGGGTGTAGTGTTGGGGTGGTGGGGGAGGGGTGAGGGGAGGAAGCAGGGGTGGGGTGCTGGGGTGGTGGGGGAGGGGTGGAGGGGAGGAAGCAGGGGTGGGGTGCTGGGGTGGTGGGGGAGGGGTGGAGGGGAGGAAGCAGGGGTGGGGTGCTGGGGTGGTGAATACTGAAGGGGGAGGGGTGAGGGGAGGAAGCAGGGGTGGGGTGCTGGGGTGGTGGGGGAGGGGTGGAGGAGAGGAAGCAGGGGTGGGGTGCTGGGGTGGTGGATATCGGAGGGGGAGGGGTGAGGGGAGGAAGCAGGGGTGGGTGCTGGGGTGGTGAATACTGAAGGGGGAGGGGTGAGGGGAGGAAGCAGGGGTGGGGTGCTGGGGTGGTGGGGGAGGGGTGGAGGAGAGGAAGCAGGGGTGGGGTGCTGGGGTGGTGGATATCGGAGGGGGAGGGGTGAGGGGAGGAAGCAGGGGTGGGGTGCTGGGGTGGTGAATACTGAAGGGGGAGGGGTGAGGGGAGGAAGCAGGGGTGGGGTGCTGGGGTGGTGGGGGAGGGGTGGAGGGGAGGAAGCAGGGGTGGGGTGCTGGGGTGGTGGATATCGGAGGGGGAGGGGTGAGGGGAGGAAGCAGGGGTGGGTGCTGGGGTGGTGAATACTGAAGGGGGAGGGGTGAGGGGAGGAAGCAGGGGTGGGGTGCTGGGGTGTTGGGGGAGGGGTGAGGGGAGGAAGCAGGGGTGGGGTGCGGGGGTGGTGGACACCAGAGGGGGAGGGGTGGAGGAGGTTCAGATGTCGTGGCGGAGGCTCCGGGATGGCGGGAAGTCAGTGGGTCCGAGGAGGCACCGTGTGCCGGGGCTGAGGGAGGGACTGAGCTGGGTTGTGAGGGGGCGGGGAGGATTCGAGGATTTGGAAAGCGGAGCAGGACTGACAGGCGGGGCAGGTGCAGAGGGTAAAGAATGCCGAAAACACCGGGAACCTCAGCCATTTACCATTGCGGTGGCAGAAACCGTTAAGGTCCTGGAGAATGCTGAATTCAAGTGCCATTTAAGGCGGCCGAGAGCCATGATCCTGTTTATACTGGGGCCAGGCCGTGTTAATCTTGTGGGCCCGACCTCAGACCGGAACCCAGGGGTGTCCAGACTCGGGAGGAGACGTCATACGGGTGGTTTTTGACGTGACGCACCGCCGGCGCCCGCGGTAAAAGGCCGGAAGAGGAGGGGCTGACGGGAAGGAAGAGGAGGGGCTGACGGGAAGGAAGAGGAGGGGCTGACGGGAAGGAAGAGGAGGGGCTGACGGGAAGGAAGACGGGAGACAGCGCCCTCTGCCCTGTTTCCTTTCCCTAAGAGAGCGACTTTGGAACAGTCACTGTCAAACTAGACGTCCCCCAGACCGCAGGCCTGAGGCCGCTGGGCCCGGAACAGTGTCCTCGACCCAGTGCTGGGACTTTCAGACCGAAACGGACTGACGGTCGAGGAACCCGGACGGAGGCAGTTCTCCATCCAGCTTACCGGCCAGGTGATTATTCGGATATAGATAACCACGGTTGGCAACGGAGGCCTGGGGTTTCCCTCCTGGGTCTAGAAAGGGGTTCGGGATTGCGGAGCGGAGGGGGACGGCCTAGCCACGGCGGCAGCGGGAGAGAGAGAAAAAGCGGCCAGCACCTACTCCCGTCCCAGGTTTTGGGATTCAAATGTGATACCCACAGGATGGAGAGGCTGACCCACGTGTCGGGTTTAGCCAGTTTATTTCAACCTGCTGGCTGCGCCCCCACAGGCAGTGAAGGCAGCAGCCTGGCTTACAGACTATGGGGTTCTGTAGGAGGCTTGCGGGTAGCCGGGTGCTGTCCTAAGGAAACCTGCAGCAGCCTGGCTTACAGACTACGGGGTTCTGTAGGAGGCTTGCGGGTAGCCGGGTGCTGTCCTAAGGAAACCTGCAGCAGCCTGGCTTACAGACTACAGGGGTTCTATAGGAGGCTTGCAGGTAGCCGGGTGCTGTCCTAAGAAAACCTGCAGCAGCCTGGCTTACAGACTATGGGGTTCTGTAGGAGGCTTGCAGGTAGCCGGGTGCTGTCCTAAGGAAACCTGCAGCAGCCTGGCTTACAGACTACGGGGGTTCTGTAGGAGGCTTGCGGGTAGCCGGGTGCTGTCCTAAGGAAACCTGCAGCAGCCTGGCTTACAGACTACGGGGGTTCTGTAGGAGGCTTGCGGGTAGCCGGGTGCTGTCCTAAGAAAAACTGCAGCAGCCTGGCTTACAGACTACGGGGGTTCTGTAGGAGGCTTGCGGGTAGCCGGGTGCTGTCCTAAGAAAAACTGCAGCAGCCTGGCTTACAGACTATGGGGTTCTGTAGGAGGCTTGCAGGTAGCCGGGTGCTGTCCTAAGAAAACCTGCAGCAGCCTGGCTTACAGACTACGGGGTTCTGTAGGAGGCTTGCGGGTAGCCGGGTGCTGTCCTAAGGAAACCTGCAGCAGCCTGGCTTACAGACTACAGGGGTTCTATAGGAGGCTTGCAGGTAGCCGGGTGCTGTCCTAAGAAAACCTGCAGCAGCCTGGCTTACAGACTATGGGGTTCTGTAGGAGGCTTGCAGGTAGCCGGGTGCTGTCCTAAGGAAACCTGCAGCAGCCTGGCTTACAGACTACGGGGGTTCTGTAGGAGGCTTGCGGGTAGCCGGGTGCTGTCCTAAGAAAAACTGCAGCAGCCTGGCTTACAGGCTACGGGGGTTCTGTAGGAGGCTTGCGGGTAGCCGGGTGCTGTCCTAAGAAAAACTGCAGCAGCCTGGCTTACAGGCTACGGGGTTTCTGTAGGAGGTTTGCAGGTAGCCGGGTGCTGTCCTAAGAAAAACTGCAGCAGCCTGGCTTACAGACTATGGGGGTTCTATAGGAGGCTTGCAGGTAGCCGGGTGCTGTCCTAAGAAAAACTGCATCTTGGTTCTCAGGTGCTGACATTCTGCTTAATTGGGTCGACATCCTGGGTTCTAGAGCCGGGTGCAACCACATCCTGGAACCCAGGTGCCCTGTTTACAAGGCTGGCGGCTGTGTTTGTTACTAGCTCAGCTTAGCAGGGGAGAAGAGGGAGGGGGTTTATGGGCTTGCCTTGCTGTGACCCTGACAGGAGCCACTGTGAAATTCTTCCTACTATATTTCCATGTTAAATTCAAAATTCTTAATTGACCTTTGCTTCATTGTTTAAATTATTTTCAATGTTTATCTTACTACCTTGTGTGTATCTTTTATTTTTTCCACCCCACCCCGCCCGTTGCGTGCATCCTTTAAAACTGCCTCAATTCTATTTAGGAACAGGAAAGATTGTAGGTAAATATATGTAGTAGAAACAGAAACTGAATTTCAACTTTGGGAATATCTGAAACTATACAGTTTCAAAAAAGGTCAAAAGAGAAAATATGAAACATTTGATGTCAAGGAACTTGAAATTTCACAGACAGAAAAAATGTATGCACAGTTACGTGAAACTATGACAGCACAAAAATAGATGCATATGGCAAGTTTTGGAGAGTATCGTTCTTTTTGAAAGAATTACAAAAGCTTTAATGTAAGAGGTGAAATTCAAATTGGACCTGAATGGGTGGGTAGGGTGTGTGTGTGTGTGTGTGTGTGTGTATGTATATATGTATATCTTCATATCTATCTTTATGTAAAGACAAGGGAAACACTATCCTAGAACAAGGGAAAAGCCCAGGTAAATTCACATTGAAGAGAAAGTCTGCAAAGTATAAGGCAAAACTTTATTTTAACTTGGGTCTCTCACAGGCCTGTGTAGAAGAAACGGAATAAAGATAGATCCAGATAAGGATTGACACAAATTGGTAGAATAAGGAGTTCACTTACTAAGTTTTAAATAATATGAGTTATTGAAAGTTTCTCGAAATGGACAGGACAAGTGTAGGTGGTGGGCGGTATGTATATTGCAAGTGAGAGAGCCTAGAGGCATGAAGGCTAATGGGCATCCGCAGCAATCATCACCAGGTGTTCTGGTTACTATTGTTGCATAACATATTATCCCAAAACGCAGTGACTCAAAACAATCATTTTGTTATCTCTCATTGTTTATGTGAATCAGGAATGTGAAAAGGCTTGGTGGGGTGGTTCTAAGTAGGATCTACTCCGATTGCTGCCAGAAGGTTGTGGGAACTGAACTGCAGGGAGCAGGAGCAGCTGGGTCTCTCTCTCCTCCTCTCTCTCTCTCTTCCTTTCTCCTTATGACCTCAGATATTCAGCGTATAGCCTATCTCTACAGGGTAGATTGGGCATCCTCATGCAATGACAGCTTCAGAGCAGTTGAATGTCTACATGGTGGCCTAGGGCTCCAGAAAGAGGGTTTTAGTGAGTAAAATGGAATCTCCGTCATTCTTTCTGTTCTAGCTTCAGATATTATCTAGCGTAACTTTTCCTGCATTCTGTTGATTACAAATGAATCCCAAACCTTTCCAGATTCAAGAGGCAAATGAGACTCTAGGAATGTGGCGAAATTATGACAGAACGTAGGGAATGAAAGATGACATGGCTGCCATCTTCAGACAATGCAATCTGCTACCAGAGGGAAGTCCGGTTTGACAGTGAAATGTGAAATCCTTATCAAAGAATACATGCATATTTAACTAACAAACATAGAAATGTCATGATAACATCCATTTTTAAGGAGCTCACTATCTTCATGAACGTAACACATAGTCATTGGTTTGCTTGCATTCCCAAGACCTCCAGTACAATGAGGCATACACAGGTTTCTCTGGCTAGGACTAAAAACAGTGTTAACTGAATACAAATATGAATGAATACATTCTCTTACACATAGACTATCTAGATGCAAATATCTAGAAAAAGGTTTGAGAGCAAGATTCTAAAATTTAGGAGAGAAATCAGGATTAGAAATCTAGCTTGGCAAAGCATTCTCACAAAGTATCTTTGAACTTGCACAAGATGAGTAATTCTCCTGTCTGGGGAATGTTTAAATTAAGTTATCTGCATGAATGCGGTTTAATAGTCATTTTTGTCTAGTTATTAGGATTCTCTCTGCTCCAATTGATTGATTAATTAATTTTTTTCTGTCAAGAGTCGCTGTGATTCTCTAAGAGGCTACACTGATGTCTAGTGAGAGGTCTAACTCAGGCTCTAGCCAGGTCCTCATCATTCAGTCACCCTTCGAGGACAGAGAGGTAGCCATCACATTGCTGGCACTATACAAAGTAGGTTTTCGAAAAGAGCAAGCTTTATCCCAAACCCTAACCGTGATAGATATTGCCTGTGTGACCTTGGCCTAGTTATTTAATCTTTCTGAGGTTTGTTCTCATCTGTAAAATTGAGAAAATAATACCTGGCAGAATTGTATGAGATTGTGAATATTAAATGTAGCACTATAATTGGTACATAGAAGCTAATCAATAACAGTGCAATATTCTGGCATAGTCTGACTGTTAGGATGAGAGGGGAAAAACCGCAAAATGGTTAATCTGAATATTTGGGCCATTGCAACAGTGATAGCTTGGCAACTATGAGTTAATTCCTGAATTGTGAAGCCTTGCCAAGAGTACAAATATATTTTCCAGATTTTACACTCACATATTAGATTTCATACCTGTGTGTAGCTACTACCCAAGTGAAATATTAAGTGATTTAAAGAAAATTAGGTGAGCATTTTACTTGACTGAAGTTAATGCAGATCTGCAAAATAATTGATGTAATCATTGGTTATATAATTATTTTGGTTCCTCAAAATTAAAGTAGAAATTTTTGAAGAGCTTCCTTTGGGTTTAGCTCATCTTTAATTCCTCATGATAAATGTTCTCTTGTAATCTGATGCTGAGAGGGACTTAGGAAGCTCTTTGCATCCATTTAAAAATAAAATGTTACTGTTTTCTTGCTATGCCTTGAGTCCCTTGATTAACATGAAGTGCTTTCACTGGTATAAATTTGTTTTCCAGGCAGCTTTCATAAAACATCAATTCTTAGAAGATTTACATTAAAAAAGTTACATAGTGCGTTCTGTCCCTAAGCAAACTCAGAATATTAATTTGAAGTCCTAGGCTTTCATTTACTTCAAGTTCTTGAAGTATTTGATCTTTAAAAAGTTACGCTTCCTATTGTTCTAAGACTCTAATTTACTGGGATACAAAATTGTAAGCAATAATGTTTTCTTGTGCTAAACAGACTCACAAAATGAATTGAGGAGTGACATACTGCCTTCTAATTATGCCTGAATAATGCCACAAATGGTATTACCCTGAGGCATATTTCTTCTGGTTTGCTGGTCCAGGCACTGCTTTATTCCTTTTTTTTTCTGTTCTTACTTTCCCACCTCCTCGAAGCTAGATTCATTGCAAGTTTCATTGATCACTCAGACCAAGCTTATTTACAGCCTGACTCCATTTAGAAGCAACCTGACCCCGTCCTACCTTTGTCTTATTGAGGCATGGAATAAAATATTCAGCCTGAAAAATAAAAACAAAATTACAAGCTTACAAAGCTGATAGAAACTACAAACAATACAACTCAAGTCTAATG